CCATCGTGCGCTCCCACAACTCGCTCATCCCGCCCATCTTCGGCTCTGACGGTCAGTGTTTGGGCAGGTGTTTGAGGGGTGTTTGGGGATGTGAGAAGTCGGGAGGGGGCTTGTCTTGAGAGGAGGGGTAAATAGGGCAGCACGGGAGGTTCACCAAGATCCAGGGCGACTACTCCACCATCGTGCTCTCCCACAACTCGCTCATCCCGCCCATCTTTGGCTCCGACGGTGAGGCACTCGCGAGGGCAGGTCCCGTGCGTTGGGGGTGTGTGTTTGTGGGGCGGTTGAGGCACGTTGAGTTGCGTTTGGAGTGGCCTCGGCTCGTTCATGGACGTGTTTTGAGACGTCTCAACACACTTCTTCAATCACATTGCGTTGGGGGTGTGTGTTTGTGGGGCGGTTGACGCACGTTGAGGTGCATTTGGAGTGGCCTCGGTTCGTTCATGGACGTGTGATTGGAGAAGGGGAAGAAAAATGGGATTGTGGTGGGCGTGTGCTTCGTGCGGCACGTATCTCACCCCATTATCTCTGCTCGTTCCTCCCTTCATCCCCCATACGCGCACGTTGAGAGCGCGTATGGGGTGGGTCCGAGGTGCTTCCGGGGACAGGTGAAGGAAGGAAGGGAAGGGGTAGGGGAACGTGGTGGACACGTGCCTCTCTCCCTTCACACGTTTCTCGTTTTCCCCTCCTCTCCCCCCACTCCCGCGCTTCTTTCCCTTAAAACACCAGAGTTTGGGTACTGCACGGAGTGGAACCCCGCAATGGAGAAGCTGGCAGGGCTGAAGCGCGAGGAGGTGATGGGCAAGATGCTCACCGGGGACGTCTTTGGTGCGCTGTGCCGCCTCAAGAGCAGCGACGCCATGACCAAGCTCATGATCATCCTCAACAACGCCATGGACGGGAATGATACGGAGCGCTTCCCCTTCTCCTTCCTGGATCGCCAGGTGCGTTTTTCTAGCTTAAAAGTTTGCAATCCACTCATGGCGATGAAGCTTCTCTCTAGCTTGCGGGTTAAACTTCCTGCAGGACACTGTTAGTTTAGTTGGAAGGCGGCTGAATCTGTTTTTTTTTTTAGAATCCTAATAAAAACAGAGAATGCAAGACACTGTTAGTTTAGTTAGAAGGCGGCTGCTTTGCCTCGCCTCACTGCATTATCTAGTCCCAATGTACCATGCCACCAAGCTGTCAGCTGGTTCGTTCCCCTCCTCTTCCTCCGCTGCAACCCCATTCGACTCCCACAGGGCAAGCTGGTGGAGGTGCTGCTGACGGCCCAGAAGCGCACGGACGCGGAGGGCGCCATCACGGGCGTCTTCTGCTTCCTCCACACCGCCTCCCCGGAGCTGCAGCAAGCGCTCACGGTGCAGAAGGCCGCCGAGAAGGTGGCAGAGGCGAAGGCGAAGGAGCTGGCGTACATCCGGCAGGAGATCAAGAACCCGCTGGACGGCATCATGTTTGCGCGGTCGTTCATTGAGCACACGGAGCTCACGGAGGACCAGAAGCAGCTCGTGGAGACGAGCGCCATGTGCGAGAAGCAGCTCCGGCGGATCCTGGATGACATGGACCTTGCTAGCATCGAGGAAGGGTGAGTGCTGGGGAGGGGGAGAGGGGGCGCGTGCTGAGGACTGTGGGTGTGTGAAAAGTAATGCTGGTAACCGGGTGTGTAGGGGAATGGCAAGGCGAAGGGGATCAAGAACCCGCTGGCGAAGGGTGAGTGCGTGTGGGGGGGCGTGCTGGGGACTGTGGGTGTGTGGAAGCAGCTGGTGGAGACGAGCGCCATGTGCGAGAAGCAGCTGCGGCGGATTCTTGATGACATGGACCTGGCTAGCATCGAGGAAGGGTGAGTGCAGGTGGGGGATTGGGGGTGGAGAATGAACACCATGGCACTCAGCCAGTCCAGTCCACGAATGATATTTTCCTTTTACAAGGTCTTTGGAGTTAACTTCTGAACCAGATAGCGATACTTTCCTTTCAATGGTCCATGGAGAGTCACTCCTGATGAGCCCTCTATCTATGAACCCTTCCCTTGGCTCTTCTGCTCCTTTTCTTCCCCTTGTCTGGTACCTCGAGCTTGACACGATGGAGTTCATGATGGCAACAGCCAGCCAGCCAGGGCATGATCTCCTCTTCCTTTCCCTCTCCCCTCTCCATCCCCTCTCCCCTCTCTCCTCTCCCCTCTTCCCTCTCCCCTTCTTCCTCCCTCTCCCCTCTCCCCTCTCCCGGCTCCCTCCTCCCCTCCCCATCCCCCCTGCTGTTGGTCCCATCCACAGCTACCTGGAGCTGGACACAGCGGTGATGACGACAGCAGAGCGAAGTTCATGATGGCAACGGTGATGAACAGCGTTGTCAGCCAGGGCATGATTTTCTCCTCTTTTTTTCCCCTTCTTCCCTGCGTTCTTCTATCATCCCCCCTGTCTCCTCCCACCTCCAGCTACCTGGAGCTGGACACAGCAGAGTTCATGATGGCGACGGTGATGAACAGCGTCGTCAGCCAGGGCATGATCTCCTCCTCTCGCAAGGGCCTGCAGCTCTTCTGTGACACCCCGCCCGAGTTCAAGACCATGAACGTGTTCGGCGACCAGGTACGATCCAGAGTGGTATCAACTTACGCTGTGATGTGCAGGAACAGCTAAAAAAGGGTCTAAATAAACCGCCAAAACGACCTCATATCTCCCTCTCCCTCCTTTCAGCTTTGTTGTGATGCTTCCCGTTTTTCCTACCTTCTACCCCTGACTCCCCCCACACTCCACCTTATGCTTCCCTTCATGTCTACCTTCCCAACTCTTTATGATGCAAATGAAACTTCTTCTAACACAACTTCTCCCGGCCCAATGAACCACGGATTTTGTCACACAATGCCTCTGTCCACAACGTCTTTCCTAACCTCTCTCTGTTCCGTCTCTCCCTCTTCTTCCCCTCTCCCTCCCCCCACCCTCCCCTCCCTCATTCTCCCCCCTTTTCCCGGGCTTCCCCCATTTAACAGGTGCGGCTGCAGCAGGTGCTGGCAGATTTCCTGCTGAACGCCGTGCAGTTCACCCCAGCCAGTGGGTGGGTGGAGGTCAAGGTTGTGCCCACGCCCACCAAGCTGCCGGGAGGAGTCACTGTTGTGAAGCTGGAATTCAAGTAAGTCAATGCAGTCAATATGGTCTAGTGAGTATATGCAATCAACTCAATGAAATGCAGTTCACCCCGGCCAGTGGGTGGGTGGAGGTCCAAGTTATGCCCACGCCTACCAAGCTGCTGGGAGGAATTACCGTGGTCTAGCTTGGGTTCAAGCAAGTCAATGCAGTCAATGCCGATCAACTTGAGCAAGTCTATGGTCTGTGCGATCAAGTGCGAGCCCTGTAGTGCAGCGAGTAGGTGCGTGGGGGGAGGTCAAGGCTGTGTCGCCATGCCCACCAGGCTGCCTGGATGAGTGCAGTTCAGAAAAGTGTTGCCTGCACTGCCTGTCTCGGCTGGTGCACCTTCGTCCTCAACTAGGAGGTCCAAGCGGCTCTCACATCTGTTCTTAACCTTTCCTGCCCCATTTTCGCCACCTGCTTATCCCCTCTCCCCACTGCTTGTCCCTCCTTGTCTCCCGTTCCTCTTCCAGGGTGAGCCACGCAGGAGAGGGGCTCCCAGATGTTTGACCGTGCCGATGCACACAGCAACTCACAGGAGGGGCTGGGACTGGGCACCTGCCTTCTCCTTAACACACTTCCCTCCCTCTTCAACCCAACTTCCCCCTCTCTCCCCTGCTTGCCACCTCTCTCTTCCAGGGTGAGCCACGCAGGAGAAGGCCTTCCAGAGGATCTGATCCACCAGATGTTTGACCGGGCGGACGCACACAGCAAGTCGCAGGAGGGGCTGGGGCTAAGCATCTGCCGCAAGATTGTGAAGCTGATGAACGGCGACGTGCAGTACATTCGCGAGGCCGGCAAGTCCCACTTTATGGTTTCGCTTGAGCTGCCTCTTGCTCAACGGGAGGATGCTGGGAGCGCCAAGTGCTGAGTGGTTGAAAGGAAAGGAGGGACAGGAGAGAGAGGACAGGCCGGCAAGTCCCACGTCATGGTCTCGCTCGAACTGCCTTCAACGGGAGGGTGTGCTCTCTAGCGAAATGCTAGAGAGGGTTTGGGGGATTTGCCGGGGATGAAGGGGCAGTGGACAAGTGCCGAGACTAATTCAAATAAAACTGTAGATTGGTTGGGTGGGAATGTGGGTTTGGGAGTGACAAATCGGAGGTGGGGAGTGAGGGAGGAGGGTCTATGCCAGCCTGTAGGGCAAACCGTTTTGAGAAGGATTTCACTGGGTTATGCTGCGGCTGATGCAACATGCGCTGAGATTTTCGTGTGGTGGTGTTGTGTGTGCTGGTGAGGCCCTTCGCACCTCTCACTCCTCTGAAGGCAGACACCTTTTGTGTGTATAGCGGGTGTAGATTTTTTTAACTGTGATCATTTTTGGCGCTGATGTTGGTCTTGTGCTGGAGAGTGTTGAGTTACGATAATCTTGAGCACTTTGCAATGGTGCAAAATCCATGCAGGAAGGTAAATTATGAGACTGAATAACACTAAAAATGTCCCAGTTCAACTAGAAGGTACCACCAGTACAGGCGCCCGAGTCAGATAAATTATCTTCATTCACTTTCAATGAGCAAATGGAAAGCTAAGACAGAGAGAGCTATCAACCTTGCCCGCCCTTTGTCGCTCATACACAGCAGAAAAGTGACAGTCCCTTGTGAGTTGACTAAGGGCGTATTCCTACAGCCTCCTATCAAGAAACCTCCTATCAAGATTGTACATTTTGCCTGGTAAAAGTAGCGAGAGATTTTGGGTTTAGGGAATTTTCCAGTGAGAGCTTGATAGGAGGTTTTCTTGATAGGAGGATAGGAATACGCCCTAAGATCGGCTACCTCACTTTCCCAGTCCTGAGCAAGCGACGAGGGAGACTAAAATGGCCCTACCCCCACCCTGCCAGACCTATGTATTGTTATACAGTGCCAAGAATGAGTGGAGTAACTCAAAAAGTTACTTCCAGGTGGTCCGCAGCATGTCAAGCAGAGTCTTAGCCTTCACCCCTGCATTGCCCTCGCTCTCCTTATGAATCTTATACAGCGCAGGGATCACCCCTTCCCTAACCAAAACCGCCTTAACCGCCGTGTCACTCCCAGCCATTCGTAGCAGCGTTGCCACTGCCTCCTCCTTTGCCCTCTGAGACGACATCTCCAGCACGTCACAAACCCCCTCCACGCCATTTGCTTCCCAGATGGCCCGCCGGCCTTCGGGGAACTTGGAGAGGAGAGAAAGGATGGCCATTGATCGCTCCTCCAGCCCTTGATCCGACGACTGTAAGAGCCCGATGAGAACAGGCACTGCACCAGTGGCGATGAAATCAGCGATAGTGACGGATTTTCTCACAGGTTCGGATTCCTCTTCATCCTGCTCTTCCCGCTCCTTATTAACCTCCTTGCTCTCCTTCCCACTGTCCCCTCTGCTGCCCCCCCTGCTGCCTCCTGAACCATCTGCTGCCTCTGTGGCATCACTGCTTCTCTCCTCCTCCCCTTCCCCTGCTCCTCCTGCTCCTACTTCTGCTGCTGCTACTGATGCTCCTGCTCCTGCTCCGGCTCTTGCTGCTGTTGCCTCACTATGACACCCCGCATCACCCGCTGCTGTGTCACCCGGGAAGCCATAAAGAGAGCACGCACAGAGCCACCTAACCAGACTCCAGATGGTCAGAATAGCATCTCTTTGCCCTCTCACACTACTAGTCTGCAGCAACCCCACCAGCGGTGGTAACGCTCCTCTCTCAGTAACCAGCTGCTTTCGTTCCTCTGTGTTCGCCAGGCAGAAAATCGCCGCCGCCGCGTTTTCCCGGGCAGCTTCGTTGTTTTCTGCTGCCCGGAGGACGTCCACAAGAGACTCCAGCCCCCCCTCGGAGAAAATTTCCTTTTGCCCGGCTTCCATCCGGCAGATGTTGAAAATCGCTGTGACTGCATGCTCCACTGTGAGGGGATCAGGAACTTTCATAAGACTGACCAGAAAAGGTATTCCTCCTGATCGGATCAGCCTTTCTTTGTTTTCCGGGCAGCCCTTGAGTGCTCTCCTGACACAGTAAACCGCGTCGCGGATCTCCTCCTCGTTACCGCAAGCAACCGCGGAAATAAGCGGCCCGAGTTTAAGAGGCTCCACGGTAGGCCGCGCCGCCGGAATACCAATCGTAGACGAGAACGAGCGCGATCCGGGGAGGCCTGACTCGCTTAATCTCTGGGAGCGCGGCGTGGGGATGCCTCCCGCGGAAGTCGCGAGCGGGCAGAAGGCGTAGATATCGTTATTATCCACTTGATGATGGCTCGTGACAGATCCAACGGCTCTCGCCATCCCGGCGCCCATGGAGATCGAACGGCTGTACTGACCCCGTTTGCTGGGCGCGGTTCGAGGGCGGGAGGAGAAGGAGGAGGAAGCGGAGGAGACGGAGAAGGCGGAGGGGGAAGGCGAAGCGCCGATGGGGCTAGGGATGGGGGAGGAGGAGACGGAGGATTGTTTTGAAGAGATGGAGGATAGGCGGAGAAAAGTGGCCGAGTTTTGCGGCGATTCGCCCGTCATGGAATGAACGCTGGGAGATCGTTCCGACTCGCCGGACAGATCGTACGCGTTAGAAGCAGGTCCGGATCGCGGACTCGGTAAGTGCAGATGGAGAACGTCTGGCGGGTGGCGACGGCCGTTGGAAGGAGACGGTCGCGGAGGTATGTTGGTGACGTCATGATGACGCGGGCTGTCTTTAATCTCTGCGCGACCCAAGTCGCCGCTGCTGGTGGTATCGTCGGCGGGATCGGACGGTGCGGAGGGCATCGCCGCCGGTCCCGAATATGCGTGCGGCATTTTCGAAAGAAGCCAATGAATGGAAGAACAAAGTAATAAGAATAATAAAAAAGAAACTCGAGACCGCCTTTCGGACAGCTACTTCCGGTATGTAACCACCAGCCCTCGCTGTCAGTCGGTCAGGAAGAAATTGGGGTTTCGTTTGCAGGTCTGGGACAGCCAGTAAGAAACGGCTTTGCAGTGATCTAGGGTCCTGTCACTAGCGAGCAGTCACGATTAGTCCCAATCAAAGGTTTTGGTCCCTACTCGCAGCGCAATTTGTGGACCTCTCATGACGTCGTATAAAAGACTCATTGATTTTGGTCCCTCCGTGCCGTCAGGGTCGACGCTTAGGAGAAGCAGCAGAACCCTAAAGCGGCTTGGCTGCCTTCTGTAGGTGGGTAGCGACTTCTGTCGAAGACCTTACTTTCGCGAAGATTATGGCGGTGTTCGCCAGCACATTTCTAAGCAAAAACGAGGGGATGACGACGGGATCAGGAAGGTAAGTTCTCGCCTTCCTGATCCCGTCAGTTAGGGTTCGTTAACCTCCGTCAGCCTGGTCAGCCCGTAAAAATGCTGGCGAACACCGCCTATGTGTTACGAGTGCAATTGAGTGAACGAGCTAGAATTGCACTATTCAAGCAAGAGTACAATGAGCGAAGGTATGAGCGAAGAATATATAGCGAAACTACAGTGGTAACGGTAATGGTCGCGCGACGAGCCTGGGACTGAGGTTGGGAACGTGTCGAAGCGTAGGCCCGGAGCGCGGGTTACCAGCCGAGCCGTGAGGTCGGGATGCGATATGCGAAAATGGCGGGATGATGAATGATGCGATGGTTGTGAGTGGTAACGGTGCTGACTGAGGTGCTACAGTGATGTACGCGTTGAGCAGAGATGCGAAGTAAGGAAAAGGGAATTGCCTTACACTACCCCCCCCTCCTAAAAGGTCCTCCTTACGAAAGCGCGTGGACGTCTTTGAAGTTTCGGCTGCGTAGATAGTCGGTGACGACAGGGTGGTTTTCAATTCTGTCCAGGGGAACCCAGTTGTCCTCGGTGGGTGTACGATCTTTCCAGCGAATCAGAAACTCAACTTTTCGGGCCCCTCGAGGGTCGCGAACTCTGTGGCTCAAGATTTTGTCGGGGGTGATGACTGGTTCGGTTGGTGGTCGTGACATGCTGGATGGTCGATGTCGTGGGAGTTGGCTGGTGGATGGTACGTAAGGGCGAAGCAGGCTGACGTGGAACGAGGGGCTGACGTACCAGTCAGCAGGAAGGAGGAGGTGCGCGGTGACAGGTGTGATCATGTGACTGATTCGAAATGGCCCACAGTATCGAGGGCGGAGTTTGGGAGTGATGGGCAGGCGGAGGTTCTGAGTGTCGAGTAAACGAGGTCGTCGGGCTGATAAGTGACGGGTCTGCGGTGGCGATCGGCGTTGCGTTTAGCGATGATATTTGTTTTTTTAATTGCTTCTGCTGCCCTGGTCCGTGCTGCTTGCAAAATCTCGGCGAACTGTTGTGCGCGTGGAACGGGATTGTCGGGGTTTGGTGTCATGGGTACTGTTGGGTTCTGTCCGTAATTCAAGTAGAATGGCGACTGTTGGGTCGTGGCAGATGGCGCGTTGTTGTATGCGAACTCGATGAGAGGCAGCTGCTGCTCCCACGTGTTTGGATCGTCACACGTGGCTCGAATGAGTCGCTCCATAGTCTGGTTTGTCCGTTCTGTCTGTCCGTCGGTTTCGGGGTGATACGATGAACTGAATTGAAGTCGCGTGCCGAACTGCTGCCACAGGTTCCGCCAGAAATTACTGGTAAACTTCGTGTCCTTGTCGCTGATGATTGACGCTGGTATCCCGTGCAGTCGAACGACGGTGGCGATGAAGAGTCGGGCTGTTTCCTCGGCTGTGATTGATTTCCTGCATGCTGCGAAATGTGCCATTTTCGTTAGTCGATCGACGACGACCAGGATCGCGTCATTCCCACTCGCCCCGGCCGGTAACCCCGTGACGAAGTCCATCGTCACCTGCTGCCAAGCACGCTCTGGAGGTGGGATTGGTTGTAATTGTCCTGCCGGCCGCTTCCTGGTTGACTTCATGAGTTGGCAAGTGGGACACGATGCCATGTGTCGTTGCACGTCGGTCAACATTTCCGGCCAGTAATAGTACCGCCGCAGCTGCTGCCGTGTTTTTTCTACTCCGAAATGTCCCGAGGTAACTCCGTCGTGTGCCTCCTGTAACAGTAGTTCCCGTAGTAGCGTGTACCCTGGTACCCAGATGCGGTCGGATCCAGCTTTTACGTAATAGGCTCCCTTGGCTGCTGCGAATTGCTGTGAATTTCCTCCTGTGAAGAATGGGTCTGTTTGATATCCGTGGGTAAATAGTCCTGTCAGTAACGGGCTGGTCTGGGCGAGTAGTATCGCATGTATTTGGGCAGTGGGGCGGGTCAGTGCGTCGGCGATATTCGAGGCTCCTTTTTTATATGTGACCGTATAGTGGAAATTCGATTCGAGGAAGTCGAGCCACCGAATCTGTCGTGGGTTGAGGTGGGGCTGTGCGCGAAGGTACTGTAGGGATCGATGGTCTGTGCGTACTGTCACGTCTGCGCCGGTCAAGTAGCAACGCCACACTTTGAATGCATGCACGATCGCGAGCATTTCGCGGTCGTGTATCGGGTAATTTCGCTCAGGTGGATGTAGCTTGCGTGATTCGTAGGCGATGGGTTGGAGGCCGTTGCCGAAGTCCTGTAACAGTACGGCTCCGATGGCGATGTCACTCGCGTCTGTAACAACTTCGAAGGGGCGGTGTGGGTCAGCGATGCGTAGGACGGGTGGTGAACAGAGAACATTTTTCAGGGCAGAGAAGGCAGCATGCTCTTTCTCCCCCCACGTAAAAGAGACCCCCTTACGCAGTAAATCAGTGAGCGGGGCTGTTAAGCGTGCCATGTCGGGGACGAACCGACGAACGTAATTAACAAACCCTAAAAAACTCTATAGTTCCGTGATGTTCGTCGGGGGATGCCACGCTTTTACGGTATCCAGCTTCTTAGGGTCTATCTCAACCGTAGCCTCCGAAATAACGTGACCTAAAAACTCTAGCCTGTCCCAAAAAAACTCGCACTTGGAGCCCTTGGTGAGTAACCGATGTGCCTCTAAAATTGTAAAAACTGCTTCGAGATCTACTAAGTGCTGCTGCTGGTCCCGACTGTAAACGAGGATGTCGTCGAGGTAAACTATGACGCATTTATCTAAAAGTGGCCTAAACGCCTCGTTCATGGTCATCTGAAATATTGCAGGCGCGTTGGTCATGTGAAAGAAAGAACGAGAATGAATTGACTATAAACGAAGTGAGTACAAATAGGAAACCCTAATTGGGTTGTACCCCCTATGGGATACCCCACTATAGCCTACACAAATAAGTAAGCTATAATGTTCTGACACACCCCCATAGGCAAAGTGGGGGAGAACAAGGGGTCACAAGACCAGTCAAGCAAAGCAAAGCAAAGCTCAGGGTGGATCACAAAGTCACCACACATTCCGAGCACAAGTTCAAAGGCCACAAGGCCAGTTCACATGCAAGATCATATATAGAGATATACAAGAGTCAAGCAAGCAAGAACAAGATTATATATAGGTGAAGGTACAAGCAAGGTCAAGAAGTGAGCAAGTGAGGCAAGACAGGCACAAGACCCAGATGCGTGCAGCAACGCTGATGATCACAAGGCGCAAGTGCCTTGGTGAAGACATCAGCAGTGTTGGCCTCAGAGGCCACGTACGCAAGTCGCAACTGTCCACGCTGCTGTAGCTCACGAGCAAGAAAGTAGCGGAGAGCAATGTGCTTTGTCCTGTGCTCCAGTCGCTGCTCTCGACACAAGGCCAGCATGGCCTTGTTGTCTACGTACAGGACTGGAGGAGAACGAGGCGGCTCTCCAAGGTCGGTCAGCAGGTAGGTGAGCCAGCGTAACTCCTGTGCAGCCATAGCCCCGGCGTAGATCTCAGCCTCACAACTGGAGCCGAGAACAGAAGACCAGTGAGTAGCCCGCCACGAAACAGAGCCGGAACCAAGGCCGAAGGAGTAACCCTCTGACGACCGCTGCGTAGCCTGGTCGTCAGCCCAAGAAGCGTCCGCGTGCCCAGTGAGGACCACTGGACTGCGCCCTCCAAGCACTAGCCCCATGCTCGATGTACTGCACAAGTAGCGCAACACCCTCTTCGCTGCAGCCATGTGCTCTGGTCGGTGTCTCCCAGGAGCAACATAGCGTGCGAGAATGCTGAGAGGGTATGCAAGGTCAGGTCATCAGGTACATGAGGAAGCCAACAAGCTCTGGGTACGGGCCACTCGACTCTACGGACTCATCCGAAGGCGGAGCTGAGAGCGAGTGGCGAGTAGGCAGAGGAGTGGCCTGAGGCGAGGAGTACGTGAAGCCGAAGCGCTGAAGGACCTGCTGCACCATGTGTGACTGAGTCAGGGTAATGGTGTGGCGTGCTCTGTCCCGGGTGATCTGCAAGCCAAGGTAGCTGCGCAGTT